ATGATGTGCTTTTTACAAAAAACAAGTCTCAAACACCATGTGATGCATCTAAACTAAGACCCTCTGAAGGTGCCAAGCCTCTCTCACACAAAATGTACCAGTTTTCAGAATTGCACACAGCTCTCGGTTTGAATTATTTTGTCACTAACAATCAGACTCCAAACCAGGTCATAACACTTATTAGACTTTCTGAAGCTCTTTAAATGTTACACAGCTAAGGTACCAAAAGCTCTGATTCTATGAAAGCATTGGAAGCCTCCGAATTTGTGAACCAGAGAAGGAATGAAGAGCCATAGCTCTGCCACCCAAAACCATTCTGTTTCACCAACTCTCCATAGCTCATTGCCCTGTTCTCCAGATGTAGGAGGATTTTCTCTACTCCTTCTCCATCGGTTTGCCTTAATCCTGGAATTTTTGGTGGCTAGTTTCTTCCAATACCCCTTGTCTACAAGAGAACCTAAACCCAAGGAACATGTTTTCCTAAGTTACTTTCTCCCCACTCTATTTGATGGCTTTCCTCAGGCTCATAAGACCTTGTTCAAACCCCACCAAAAGAAGTGACAATCTTTGCTTGATTTTAGCCAGTTTTGGAGAAAGGCACAGAGTGAAGAAGGACTCCTAACCTTTTTCCAAGCCCTTCTCTATCCCTAGGAGGAAGGCTTTCCTGACTGCAGGATATCAAATATTCAAGGTACAGCCTACAAAGACGAAAGATATAATTAAAAACATCTAAACCCAAGCTATTTCATACAGACAAAAAGCCTAATGAGGAGCAGGCCCAAATTGCAGTTGTCAGGTTGAGCAGCGCCATGTCCAGCACCAGGCAGCTCCCAACTGCTGGCCAAGGCTTCCACATTACAAAGGCTGGGTGTTAAATCGATAAGGCTACCTTAGAAATTTACCTGCAGCATCTCATGTGGTTGATTTCTCAACCAAGGTTTAGGGGTTTGATCCTCAAAACTCTCCACTTGAGAGGGCTCAGTGACAGAAAGCAGTAAGGAATGGCTCATTTGCTGAAAGGTGAATCATGGCAAGGCAATGCAAGGCAACACAACAGACTTCAGGTTGCTCTCACGGCAGTGCCAGCCTGGGGCGTAACAGGCAGGAGGCTCTGCAGTAACTAACAACTACTGTCTTAAAATCATGGGTTTGGTGCAAACCTGCCTGGTACTTGAAAGAAGAGCAGGACTGGACTACTGGTGAATGACAGATCTGCTTTTAAGACACATCCCTGCCCCAAGGGAGGAAAAAAAAGGGGAGGGTGTGGGGAGAAGCAGAGCACAGCGATGGAAAGGAACCACACGAGATTAAAGACATAGCACAATTTCCATAGAGACAAATCAATTTTGAAAGAAATAATAAATTGACTTCAACAGGCCTAAATATCCTCCCTGGTAATGAAAGGAAAAAGCCATGTGTTATATTGAAAAACAACTCTAATAAACAGTAACTGCATCATTAGCTAGCAAAAATCTTCATGAGCTACAAACAGAACAAAATGTTTCTGCTTTTCCTTTTTAAAATGCTCAAAGCTCACTAATGTGCCACAACTCTTGTAAAAGACCACACAATAAGGCTTAGATCTTCAAAGGCATCGAGGAGGCTGTGGGAGCTCTGGGTCTCTCAACAGCAGCCCTTAGAGTTCTGTCTGGCAAGGCTTAATATGGACTATGAATTTACTATTGACTTACTATGATGTGCAGCTGGTCATTCTTGGTGACAAGTAGGTCTTGCAGTCCTCCAGAGAAGTACGTAGCTTAACATCTTGTTCACCCCAGAAGAGGCTCTAAGAATACTACCAAGAGGCTGTGTAAACCTCAGACAGGCATAAGCCTCCTCTACATCCTGACACTGGCTGGCTATTTGCTTGGGAAGCTGCTACCTCATGTAACAAGACTTTGCTCCTGAGCACTAATGCACTTGTTGCCTGGGCTGAGCATACTCCCAAGGCAAGGGAAGGCTGAGCAAGGCATCCCAGGTGCTAAAGGCAGTTCCTTCCTGCCTGAGACAGATGAGGACAAACAAGCTGTGAGAGACGGTGAATTATGAGGCCAGTATAAAAAGGCTGCTGATAGTTTGGCCCTGAACATCTCTTTAGTGTGTAACAGCTATTTACAGAAACATGCTAAGTGGAATTCTCCTGAAGTTTGTTTTGTTTCCCAGCTCAGGTGTGGCAGATCAGCTCTCCCAAATCAGTGGAGGTGATTAGAATCACCTGAAAACAAATTGCCTTTTCTGCTTTGATGTATGGCCTCAGCCTAACCTTTTGCTGGAAGGGTGTGTATTAAAACACCTGAACTGTATTTATTTCACTTTCTACTTTGCTAACTGTAAGCAAAACTGTTTTCTTTGTGAGTCTCCATCACACATCTCCATGGCTAACTAAGTAAGTAATAATAAACCAAAATGGACACACAATAGTTAATGTGAATGAGCTGTGGCTTGAAATAGCAGGTAACAGATGGAGACAAAAGACAGTGACTATCCTGACGCTTCTATCTTTAAATGTTTGTTTACGCTAAAAATACTCTTCAGCCCAGCAAGGTTGTCTTTGCACATAACTTTACTGTAAACTTAACCTGTACTTCAGAACCACTCCCAGCCCAAAGCCAAATACTGCAGACTTGTTCGTAATCATCAGTTCTGGGATCAGAACTTTGGAAGACTGGGTTTAAGGTTGAAAAAGCCCAAACAAACCAAACCCAGAACTAACACAGCTTCCAAGATTTTACATTCTAACTTCACTCAGAGTGTCTGTCTGCTTCCCGTTGATGCCAAACATGACATTCCCATGTAGGTGGGTGCAAGTCCTATCCCCATCACTGGGCTGAGGCCCAAGAGTACATACCTCTGCAGCCTTTTGCCTGGGTAAGGATCCTGGACCCTGTTGCATGAATATCACCCGTAAGCCAAGGGTGAAATCATGACTTAGAGATCAGTGCCACCATGTGCATAAAATAAACCTCCTACTGTGCCACTGATGGTTCCACTTACGCCTCTTATACCAAGGTATTAACTATCTTAGTTTAGGCTGTATTTTTATACCACTGTGCAAAAGTATGATAGATAATTCTGGAATAAAAGGGCTGGCTTGGAAAATGTCACTGGAGATGCATACCTGCATGCAGATTTTGCCATCTTTCCAAAATACGCATCAATTTTACTCTTCTTTAATATCTACGTTATATACACACCACAGGCTCAATTTTCCCATATTGGTGCTTCTCTTCATGCTCGAACTCCTTACATCTACAGAGTCCCTGAAGAAGCAAAACAGTTTTTCCTGATACTGAACATAATGTATGGGATTCTTCCCCAGCTGTTGGCTTACAGATGTGTCAACAAGCCAGAGTTTTTTATGAAACCAAAACAAGAAGAAAAAACAGAATAACACAACTGTTTTCAGCTCCTCCTTCTGGCTGTCTATGTACCTGGGTTGGGATGTAACTGAACTGCTCCAATGGAACCTGAATGAAGCGTGTAAGATGTGTAAATCTGCACAGTTGTGTAAAGTTGCACGGTCTGTTTTGTTTATCCTACTTGAAAAGGGAAATAAAGACAACTGCCTTCAGTACCACTTCTCAACATCTTGACTTTGCGCTGCAGCAGAGCTGCGGGTTCCCACAGCTATTTTTAAGTAAGCCACTTTGACAGTTTTAGAAATACTGCATGAAGTTAAATAATAATGATGATGTCAGTGTTTAGCCTCCACACCCTCAAGAGTATCACTGGCAGCAATCCCTACAGAGCTAGTGTAGAATGGGAAGGTCAATGTTTTGAGGTGTGAAAAATTAGCATACGTAACTCTGTCACATGCACATCTTTTATTTGTCAAAAAGTATGTCTTGTGGGTCAGCCTTGTTAAAAATCCCAAGAAATCTTTTTAAGAAGCAACCAACTTTTACGGTAAGACTCCATATATGATAAGCAAATCATAGTTTTGTTAATTCTTTTAAGGATTCACCTCTGCAAGGACCGCTCATCTGCTTGAAGTTAAGTGTGTGCTTAACTAGTTTAACCAGCTCCTCTGAACTGGGCCTAGGGGCTTGATACCTAGGGCAGGTTGACCTTATACCGGAGAATGCAGTTTCAGAGAGGGGTTTTGGTTCTTCTCTGCAGCTACTTTTGCTAATGCTGTTGCTCCTAAACAAGTAGCAGCAAGTACAGTGACCTTGGTTTGTGTGGTTTATGTTTCTGTTTGCAATTACAACTATTTCTATGCCTTCTACGTGTATTTACACTACAAGCAGTACACTCAAGTGCCTTCCTCACAGGTGAAATTAGCTGATACATTTTAACTTGAAACACTTTATTTGGGAATGTTGACTTTTGGGCATTTTGATGTAAAGGATCTTCTTTTTAAACCTAACCAGTAACGAGACAGGATCAGCTCATGCATGTCCATGTTGCACCCTGTGCAAGGGGACTTTGAAAGCAGCAAGAAACTCATGCTGGAAGGCTCTCCTGCTGCACACTGAGCTGTGCTTTGCAGCAGTGCTCAGAAGAGAGACCCCCGGTTTCACACCTCCAGCCAAAGGGGCTGGTCCAAGATAACCCCAACCCACCTCAGTAATGCCTCCTGGTGAAAGGGGGTTTAGCAATAACGCCCTCGGGCACCCAGCCTCCTGCCATGCTCACTAGAACTGGGGGTAGCTCCATCCCAGCACAGCCTCCCATGAAAACCAGCCCCGAGCTGTTGGGCTGTATCAGGAGGTGAGGGCTCACAATCGGGTATCCGAGCCGCTGGTGTCACTGCTCATGGTTTTAAAGAAACTTTGAGTACATTCAAGGTGAATTTAATAACCTCCTGTTATCCAGAAAAGGCAAAGTACAGAAAAAATAAAGATCTCACCTGCACTTGTATCTATTATGGTCAACTCATGTTAACAGAATGTTTTGCTTTAATACTTGACTTACATTAATACCTCACATTATTACACGTATGAAGCCAAATATGACGCTAACTTAGTTGCTTACAACCTCAAACCTTACTCCCAATACACATTCCAATAAATTTATTCTGTAAAAACAATACATTTTTTTGTTTCCTTTTTTCTTTCCTTTTTTGTTTTTTTGTTGTGTTTTTTTTTTTTAAGTTTTTTACAGTAAACTCATCAACTACAAACCTTGAATACGCAAAAGATGTTCCAAGGACAAGCATAACAAGGATTGATAAAACCAGACTAAATATGTTTTCACAATAAAAGCTGGCATAAAAATAAATAAAAATCTCTATTATCACAATAGCAACAATAATGTACACAGAGTAATGGATCTGGAATGCTTACTTACTAGTCTAGTTCTATTTCCAAATGGAAAAAAAAAAAAAAAGCCAGAATGACAGCATCCTTTTTTAAGCCTTTCGTTATTTAAAATTGATGTTTTCTTTTGGTTTCCCATAGGGTTCTATATCACAGTAAGCTTAAAAATGGAAAGCATCCAAATGAATGATTTCAAATTGTGTTGGCATTGGAAAAAATCCTTGTATTAATCTAAAGAAACACAAAAAGACTTTCACTAACTCCACATATAGGAACTAAGTCAGATAGTGTACATTACATCATGATTTTGAGAAGTATTAAGAGTATAACTAGCTAGGTACTTCTAATAAGGAAAGGTATTTTATTACATTATTGAACTTGGCGGTGATTTCAACTGAAGAATTTTTCTTTTATGTTTTAAACTGATCAAAAATCAAGGAACTATGGATATAGGGAAATCTAAACTCATGTTTGTACGTGGAAGATATCATAGTATTGGATGGAGGGGACTAATTTCTAAGTTTTACTTGTTTTTAAAAAATGCTGATTTAGAATGATATAATTTGGAGTTACACCTTTTCTGTCTAGAAAAGGAATCGAGAACATGTTCAAGTATGCGGTATCTTCATACACCTCAGCCACTGGTAAAGGGCAACTTCATGCAACCAAATAATATGAAAATCAAAAAGTAACCCTTAGAAAAAAGGGTAAAATGTCATTTCTGCAAACACAACAGATAGGAATGTGAATAATGTGCATACAAACTGGGATGCTGTTGATGATACTAATGAACAGATGTGATGACTCATATCAAATCCAAGAATATTAGACAACCAAACATGTAACCTTCTTGTGTTTTCCCTTAATAGTCAGCAGTCATTATGTTGGTTAAGTCTGAAAGAGAGAGAGAGAAAAAAAGAGATCACATTTAATTTAAGAAAAAGCATGCTGTAACAAACATGATATAATGAATGCCTTACTGCCACACTTCAAAGGCCCAGGCTCAAGGAACCACCTGCTCTGTTCCAACCATAATGCTTTTCTAAACAAAACTGCTTACATCAACTAAACACCATCAACTAAAGCATCAGCTAAACAGACCACTATAGATAGTAGAGAACACAGTTTAACAGTAAACGTTTGGGCTTTATTCGAATAAGCAGCTCCAGTCACAGGTGTGGTTGTTTTTCTGTTTTCCCCAATCACTTCATTAGGAATCTCCTAGTGTTCTTTACACACAGCCACCATCTGCATTTTTCCACCACCCCAGATCCCTGCCAGGCCCTGTTCAGAAGCTCAGGCTCAGCTGGATCCCTGAGCGCCTCCCGATGTTGAGAACAGTGTTTTGTGCTCAAACACAAACACTCAGCAAGCACGGAGAAAGCTGAACAGTTTTCCTAGCTAACAGATTGGAATGCTGCTTCTGAAAAGGACAGAGTGGAGTTGGCTTGGAGTTCTCTGGAAGGCGATGACAGAAAAGGAAGAAACTCCCTCTTCGTGACTGAGTCAAGGTCAGCACTTGCCTTCACTGACATCAGTAGGAACAGTATCACTGTCCTCATGTGATCATGGCAAATGTCTCCAAGTCTTGGTTTCTTCATATTAAGCAGAGATAGCGAAACTCACCGACAGGCACAGGGCCCTACTTCGTGCAGCAGTGTGCCAACACGCAATGCTACATGCCTACCTAACCCTGAGCAAGGCATCTCTGTCCTCTGTAAAGAATTCTGAGTGAATGCTTGTCCACCCACACCCTGACAGACAGAAGGAAACACAACACAGAAGCAGTACAAAGGAACTAGTACTGTGGTCATCCAAGGAAAAAAAAAATCATCATCAAGGAATAAGTGTGGGGGGGTACAGGTTAAATCCTCTGGGGAGATGGAGTTTTCATTTTACACAGGATCCAGAGAAGAATATGAAGACATATTAACATCCCTGCGTTAGCAGTCTGCTGCCTAAGCTCTCCCCCATGGCTACAGCAGACACTGCTTCTCTGCCTGAGGATAAGAGCATATGAGTGCTCACTTGGCAGTCTGGAATCCCAGCCTTGTTGCTGCCCCTGTGAACTAAGACAGAACACTGTTCAGTGTGGCTCTTCTCTCCTGTGACAAGAAGTTTGCAAACAGTAAGTAGTGGAAACCTGCACTTTCCACATGGGAGGTCCTGGAACATCCTGACTAAGGACACATGATAATGGGTTATTACAAAATACTCGTGCATGTGATGATGGCTTACAGGAACTGCCTGAGCCCTGCCTCCTCCCAAAGGTGTGACAACGTGCTGCTCATCAGTGTACCACACTTTTATCGACCTCTCTTCTGTTTAAGAGTCACTGAGATTATACTTACTGCAGCTTTGGAGACATGGCTTAGAAGGGTTCATTGCTGCTTCTTTCCCTTCAGAGGGAAGGACAGACACCCATTGAAACAAATGATTAGTCAACCAAACCACGCCTTCTGCTGAAGTTGTTAATGACAGCTGCTACCCAGCCCTGATGGTGGTGAAACAGTCAGTCCCTAGGGTACCACTCCCAGCTCCAGTAAGGAAAGCTGTCCTTTCAGAGTATGAAACCTTTGCACTTACTAACAACTCCCCTCTGGGCTAAAGCTGGAAGATTCGGTAGGCACCATTCTTATGTGGGGTGCTAGGAATATTAATCCTTCCACTCCCCAGTGTCTCATGGATATGTCTCTTGTGGCACAGGAGGGACAATAAAGGGCTGGGTAGCAAATAATCGTGTAGGATTTTCACAGTTCCCTGCTCCATCTCCCAGCATGGCACAAACAAAACACATTCTGTCTCAGGTGCCCCAGAAGTTGACAGTTCTCCCCTAATATAGGCATACCCCTGGGCCACGCAGGGACTTTGGCTCCTTCCCCTACCCAGGCAGCTCAGGCTCTTGCTCAACAAGGATGCACTTTCCATGGTCTCCATGGTTTCATGTCTCTCCAGAAACAGATCAGCTCTCATCATCTTTGTCTGAACAAGCCTCTCAGCTTTACTGTACTATTGATACAACATGTGCTGTGCTGACCAGTGCTACTGCACACAAAACAAAGAGCACAGAGCCTGACTGATTCCAGTGAAACATAGCAGTCATCAAGAAAACTGAAGGATAGAGAACACAGAGAGGGCATAACCCTATATTCACGAATTGCCTTGTTTCTTCTGGCACTGAAAATTCCTTCCTGAACAGTGTCTGGCAACTGACTCGGCCATCCTGTACTATAAAAGCTCTTGCTGGATGGGCAGAAGGGTAATTACTTCCTTGCTCTGCATGATCATTGTGATTCCATGTTGGTTTAAGGTCAAAGTGTTTACAGGATCCAATGCACACAGAGGTGCAAAGAGTATGTTTAATCTACACCAGCTAATTTAATCTCAACTTGCGTTTAGACATTTATGTTTCTCCTGAGTTATATCCCATGTCCCATTGCTTTAGCAGCACTTTACCCTGAGCTACAGGAAGGCAGCAGACAACACAATTCTTTACACCAGAGGGTATGCCACTGTTTGATTTTTACATAGCAATTTCTACTGTGCAATAGTTGTGACACATTGTCACAAATGTTACCCTTTTGGAGGGGTAGATTTTAACTTCAAATTGCAGGAAAAAATCAGACAAACACACACTCTGTTTTCATTTTCTGGAAAGATGCCCACATAAACACTTTTCCATTGACTAGAACCCTAAATGCTGTGCTTTCAATGTTGATAAAACCCCAGACCTGTTCTGCAGCCCAACCAGCGTTATTCTTGAGAAGGAAAGAAGGAAGAGCGAAGGAACCAAACATCTCAAAACCACATCAGAAGGACACAGTGAACCTGTGTTTCCTTGCCCAGTTTGGCCACGACACTTGTCTGTCACAGCACTGACTGGAGTTGTTGCTACCCCACAAGAACATCACAACAAAAAATATGTCCTGGACTCAGGCTGTTTTAAATATGTTCTCCCAATTGCAATAGTATCAGATGGCAGTAATTTTGGACCAGATTTTGATCCCCTTATTCATGCTGGCAAGCAGTCACCTCCACAAATAGATCCAGTGACTCCCATGTTAGTAACTGATTGTCAGTGCGAGTAAAGAGATCACAGTCCTCTACCCCACTTAATATTCGGGCTGTATCAGGAGTAAAAAATGTATTTAATTTCCAACAAACCTACTATTTTTCAAAGACTTGGTAAAATCATTCACCTCCTGAAAGGTAACCCGTGCATCTGTACATGAAGGGAGCACCTCATTTACCAACCCAGTGTCCAGACTGTCACTAAAATAATGACTGTCAGAAGAGAAACTTGCCACATACCCTTAGCGCTGACCTTAACATTCAAATAGTGTCTAATAGGGCAGGGACTACAGCCAGCTTTCAAACGTCTTTATATGGGTATCCAGAGAGTAAAAGGAAAATGCATCTTAGGTGTTCATGATAAAGATTCCGAGTTATGCCAGGCAAGAACCAAATGTACAAGTTGCTGGGGACCGAAATGTGGAATGCAAATCTGCTGCAGTGAATTCAGCGGTTTATGAGCTACTTTTGTACCATAGAAAGTAAACAACACAGAGCCATGAAGACCTTTCCACTGGAATATTCTGTTTATGTGGTGTTTTGAGAAAGCCAAAACAATTCACTATTTAACAGAGGTCTGGTGTGGGGCGTTCTGGGGCTCCTGAGCAAGCTCAGGGATGGGCTGTCTTAGCTAATATATTCTTAGTTAATTAGTTAATTAGATAATACAACTCTGAGGTTGACACTTTTCATCTTTCTGGGAAGGAATCAGTCAAAGAACAGCACTGAGGGTAAGAGCCTGAGAAACAGGTAGTGGCAGGATGCAATTCTAAACTGTGGCTGAGTCTAAGGAAGCTAGTGCTCTTCTGCTGAGAGTCACTGGAGTACTCCAGAACAGCTGAGATACTAGGGAGGGAGTGAAGAAAAGAAAGCGGCTTTGTCAAACCCAGGGATAAAAAGAATCGCAAATTCAGACCCTGAACAGTATGAAATTGGCAGAAAAAGTTTCACAGCATTGGAAGTGCTTTTACTTGCTGTGGGTTTGAGCCTTTAGGAAGCCCTCACTTCACATCTTCAAGCTTTCCTCTATCACCTGGAGGTTAGAAATTTCATTAAAAAATACAGGTGAAGATGCTCCTGCAATCGTTTGGCTTCAGCTGTTAGCCCTTCAAGAAGATCCCCATAATGCTGAGGGTATGAATATGACTGAAAGGCAAGGTTTTCTCCAATCTGAAGAGATGTGTCTTCACCTTGCAGTCCATATAAAAACATAAAACATAATGATTACCTCATTATTAGTAGCATTATTAAGATAAAAGCTTCTTGTGTCCTCTAGGCAGCTCTTGCATGATCAGAGACGGAGGTGCAGAACACAGGAACAAGGGCTCTCTGGGACACAGCCTGTGGACAGCTGAGCCCTGCACCTTCCACAGCCCTTACCAGATCCACTACAGGCGTCTTCCAAGCAGCCACTCCTGGTGCCAGAACCAGGGGAATGAAACCCTCCCATCCAGGGCTCTGATTCCCGTTTTTCTGTCTCTTTGCCTTCACGGTACCTTTCTGCAGACTATTCTAACGGAGACGCTGCCCAGTGCGACGCGGGCGCGGGGCAGCCCTGCCGTGGTCCATGCTGGTGTGTTCCTGGCGCCACCTCATGGCCAGAGAAACGCTCTGAGCGTGATGCTCAGGACAGGGAAGTGCGGAATGGGTGCGTGTGTGCACTCCTGTGCTGCGCTGGCAAGGAGCAGGGAGCCCATCTTCACACCGCGTGTTGGTGGTGCAGTGCTCTTCTCACAGGCTACATGATTTTAAAGAGACCACAATCTCATTCATGATGGTGTCTATTAGCAGACCTAGACATACTTCTCGATTCATGCCTGTGAACAAGAGGCCCACACCCCAACTCTGCAGGCAAGCGTTGGCCTTTTCTGACCTTCTTTTCTCAGCGCCTCCAGTGTGCTCCCTGTCTGGATGTCTGGCAGGATGTGTCTGCAGGACAGCAGCTCCATGCCCCAGGAGGACAGTGCAGACACACACTGCTCCGACTGGAAAATACAATCTGGTTACTCTTTCCCCGAGTGCTTGTGTTTGATGAAGGCACACATTCTAAAACCACACTGATCTGGCTTTGAGGATGCCAGGCGATGGAGTGTCCCCTCCTGGTCCTAAAAGAGAACTGCACTGCTGACAAAATCTCAGAAGCAACACTGAAGAGAATTTACATGTGAAATGCTGATTCTGTGGCAGAAATGCCCAAGATGAACTACCTGGATCAGGATGTGAACTTCTCCAAACTTATCGGTGTTTATATCTCAGGCTGCCCTTAAAACCATTTCTCCATCTCTTTTTAGTACATGCTACTAAACCTCCACCTTTCCCATGCTGAAAGCATCCGAGATCTAGTTACAGAAGTTCAAGTGTGAGGTGAAGCCTGAGCATTGGGGTTGCAGAAGTCAGAGTAGAGTCAGCCCCTCATGTGGGTGTGACAGTGTGGGTTATATTTCTGTGGAGCTGGTGCTGACAGGAAGGACAGACTGTGGATACTTCAGCACAGAGTCTAAAATATCTGCAGTCCTGGAAACACTGCAGAGCAGCTCCATGATGTTCCATCATGCTGGACTCTACCTCCAGCTGTTAAAAGTGTGGCAGATATAGAAGGAAGAGCTATATGAATATCACCAACACAAAGCCAACATCCTATGTGGCTTTTTAGCCACTGAGTCTGCAACTGAACAAACTCAGTAAGCATTTAGTCCTTACATGGAGAGCATGCCTGAAGTTCACAGCCACATCCACTGTCATTGCTACAAACACAGGAAACAAAGCACGCTTTCCTGAACCTTTTGCCACCTCAGATACACCTTATGGCTTGTTTTCTTACTCAAATACCTATTTGAAGACATAAAAGCGTCACAAGGTTCACTACCCAGAATGTGGGCAAGAGATGGACTGTGCACTCGCTACACTCCTCAGCCCCAGAATCAAATGCTGTGAGGTGCTGGGAAGGCACAATTGGGCACAGCATCCCATTGCATCAGCCAGTGGCTTAAGGCAGAGGCTTATTCAGAGAAAATGGGAGAGGCTCAGAGCACGTTACTGTCCTGGCCCTGCGAGCCACATACCAAAGTCTTTATAAGGTGAAGAGCCATGGAACACATACACTGTACCGCAATGAGATGGGAGGAAAAGAAGCTCCGGGAGGAGGTTCCAAGCAGGAGACAAGAGCAGCTCCCCAGAGGTTGTTCTGTGAGAAAGGAAGGAAGCTGAGCACGCAGCTGGGTGCTAAAGGTACCTTGGCAATGTCAGAGAGAGCCTGTGATGGCTGGATGCCTCTCACACGTGGGGATTCGTGTCACTCAGCAGCTCCTGTGACAGCCCAGCCTGGCTGCTGGCCACGTGGCAGGGCCTTTGCATGGGAACCTCGTGAGAACTGGTTCTGAGATGGAGCTGTGAGTCCTGGAGCAGGGAAGCTTGTGCTGCTTCAGTGTCTCAGAAACAGCAGTGGCTGTTAAAGGTGGCTGATGATTAACCAATTCCCATGCTAATTCCCCTGCTCAGCAGCCTTCCTTTCTGCTGCTGTGGTCACAAAAACCCAATATTGATACAAACACAAAACTGACACAAACATACAAAGAGATCATATGAAGCTGCTCTGGAGCAGACAATATATCCCCTCCTTGGAGACTCATCTCCCAAGTCAGGATCTGCCCTGAAACCTGCAGCATGCAGTCTGTAATATGCACATAAACCTTCATGAACTCCAGAGGAGTCAGTGGGACTGCACAAATGTTAAACAAGTGTGAAAGGATAAGTAGGCTCCCACTGTTTAGTGAGCCAAAAGGCATTATGCAAACAGTCTGATTCTGCTCTCACATCCATTTTGTATCATTCCAGCTCATGGTTTTCAACAGTTCCTCTCAGCTGACATCTATGCAAGTGTTGGAACAAAAATAATGTGTGTAGTATCTTTTCCTATTCGATTCCTATTGCTTCTCTAGAGCAAAATTTGTTTCAGTGCAGGACCAGTCCCATGTTTCTGTTACAGACACATTCTGAACACCAAAATGCAATGTAAAAAGATCTCAAGTGGTATATACACAGGTCACTGCAATTGCCTTTTGCCCCTGGCTCCACAGCCCCCTTGTAGCAAACTGCATGGGAAGTGAATGGTATTAACAGAAGATTACCCCTTCACTGGTTTTCTGCAAATCTGAAGAAGTGTTTCTTGTGTCATTGCCTGCATCCCCAGCATCGGAGCTGCTCTTATTTTCTTCCTCTTTGCAGTCCTTATCATCTTCATCTCCAGGAGATTTCCGTGACTGCTTGGAGGATTTCTGAAATGATTAACAACAAAGGTAAAAAGTAAAAACTGAGCTCCAGTCACAGAAAACCACTTCTGACATGCATGTGTAACGCTGTCTGATGATGCGGTTCCCTACACAAGGTGAATATTGGGGAGGATATGTAGGGTGAAAGGTGTTTTTCAGGTGAAGTAGTTGGAGTTACTGCCATCGATGAAACAGGAGGAGAAATTCTGTGTTCAACACAGGTTGGCAGCACAACGGACTGTAAGACAGACACAGTAATAGGAGATGGGTATTAGTGTTGGGTCACCTGTAGGTTTTGTTAGTTAATGAAACAGATGGTGCCAGCTTGACAAAAGTTTTGATTAAACACAGAGATGTAAAATGAGAATAACATTAGCAGAGCTGCTTTCCATACTTTTTTTAGTGCTGTCAGCTTTAATATATTAACATTAAAGCCATGTGGAACCAATACATCTTTTCTGCTCCCTTTATGTTATGCAATACTACAGTACAAAAGGATAAATTGTGGCATTAAGCCACCATTTTCCTAATCCTCTGTTTGCCCAGAGTCTTCTGGAAAGAAAATGGTAGACCAGACCTGAATTTCTAATGTAAAACACACAAAGGGGGTGAAATTACTTACTACATTTTGTTCAGTGGGTGAACCACCAAAAATTCCTGCTCTCCCCCAAACTGAGCCTTGATCAGATTGTTTACTTGCTTCTCATTTCACTTAGTTTTCACTTTCAGAGAATAACATGAATGTGACTGAATGTGACTCTGCCACCTTTTCCACACTTTTTTAAGCAAATTACAGACTTAGAGGCACACACAAAACTGGAGGAAGCGTCTGTAATGCTGCTCCCTTTCACCCACATGGCAAATGAGAAGCGTACCTGAACCCAAAGATGTCCCTGTGCTGGGGATTACATTCACCAGGCGTTATGACACAACCTGAGACACGTTACTCTTAGCTTCCTCATCTGACCTGTTACTTAGACATTAAGAGGGCCGGTAGGTACTATACTGCAGGTCTTTCATCTACAGATTGAGTGCCCTCCTCACTGCTTAATGAATTAGTTCTTCCTCCTCCCTGTTCTGTATCCTGTGCTGAAGCATTTTACACTCAGCTACAAGAGCAGATGAGCACATATGACCCTACCGCATTTTAGCACAGCATCTGGGGCACTCACACTGGAGATGGAAAGGGAAGCTTGAATTCTACTGGACAGGAACCAAACCTGAACTCACGTCTCCCAAGATGCACACTCCTAAGGCATTTTTTTGCTCCTTATGGGGCAATAGTTATCTAAGAGGATCAAACCAACTAATCCAACATTGCCTGGATTTTCTTTCCAGCCCTTATGAACTCCTTCCCATACTTTCACCTCCACCCCCCCCAAAGTGTGGGCAGCAGGACGGGGTGGAATATTTCAACTGCTCTCGCACCAAGGCTGTCACAAAACCAACATCACTTCCCTTTGCCTGTTTGAACACTATTGTTACGGTACTGCAATCAAAATGCTAAAGAAGGATGAACAGATTGCCAATGAGATGGACGGTATTCTAACTATAAATGCCCACTGGTGACAATGGAAAAACTCAGAAGACAACCTTTGAAGTGTAGGATTTTTTCCGTTTTGAGCCTGCTTTTTCATTCTTTCTTTTTCCTTTTCCATCCTCTTCTACCCGATCACCTTCCTCCTCACTGCTGGCATCTGCTGTATTTCCTCCTTCTCCTTCAGTTTCTGATGAGCTCTGTTGCTGAATTGCCTTTAAAATAACAATAATAACATAAACAGTAAAAAACCCACTAAAATCTATTACCTCATTTTTGTTCCGTATTGAAGATGGAAAGACTGTAACAGGCAGCTTACACTTCAACCACTATAGTCAGGAAGAGCTCAGGTTATTCCTGCAATTATCAAGAAAAAGGGCTGCAAGGGCAATTTTTTCAGATACCACTTGGAAGCAGTTATCACACACAGGTTCTGGGATAGCATGTTCTGAAGGGGTTATGCAGAAACAGAAGATCTAGTAACAAAAACGTGTTTGCCAGGGAACTAAGGGTTGCTCAGTGCAGAGACCTGGCCCCACTTTGGGTGAAACTATGGAAAATGTTAGAGTTTGGCTGCAATAGGAGAGACTTAGGAGAGAAGATGGCTGTTACAACTCCCCCACAGCGCAGGATTCTGTGTTAGGAAAAAGCAAACACTGACCAGAAGGCTGAGAGCCTTTTGACAGCCCATCTCCCACAGACTATACACTAGAGGGCTTTTTTAATCCCCAAGTGTATGCAAAACATCTGCAGGGCTGAAAACATGAAACAGGAACCGAGAGAGGCAGCAGCTTGCTTGCAGGTGGTCCATAACTCTGGTTTGTAAGGTTTTGTGCTAATAATGTAATAGGTGTTTGCCTTCTTTTAGAGGTGATTTCTGCCTTCAAAGGACCATATTTTTTTAATGAGAAAAGTTCTTTGGTTTTACCCAGCCCACCGACTCCTCTTCTCCCCTCCAGCTTCACCAGCATTTTGCTCCGGACATCCTACAGGGAGAGCTGTTGTACAGCAGCTCCTATCTAGTAAGAGCAGCTTAAACCTCCACCTTCTCACCCCCCACTTCTTTGGCAGTGGTATCCTACATGTTATACGTTACCGATGTAAAAATCAAAACTGCAGTGACCTTAAGGCCCATGTAAAATACACTGAACCTGCTACAAAAATAAACAGCAGAAAGGAGTCAGAAATTATTCATATTTATACTGCAGTAAATAAAACCTTCCATTTTTAATTCAACTAAATCTGCTGCAGAATTTTCCACTTCACCACCCCAGAATATCACAGAATGCAGAGGGCTCTGCAGTATGATTAAAGCTCAATTTGTCACAGAGTACAAGACCACAGTTGTCTCTACATTACACAATTACAAAAGCTGTGAAACTTCCTATCTCCACCAAAACCAGGATCTTGCACATCACTCATACCATGTTTACATCGACAAGAACTCCTCAGAGAAGAAAACGAGAAAGATAAATACAACTGAAAGTCATTTACCTGATATCCAGTAAACTTTACTCCAGGGTTGTTTTCTATTTCCCACAGGCCTTCATTAAATCCTTTTCGCTTGTTTGACTTCCCAAACTTATCTTTATATTCTTTATATGGGAAAAGGTCTTTGGGCCCCAGGAACGCACTGCATTTGAACAAAGGTAAAATTCAAAAAAGGACTTCAATTCCTCCTCTTCCAAATCCCCACCCACCATTAACAGTGCATATGTTTTCCCTATTCTTCTGCTCATTCCATCACTTCTTTTCAGTTTTATTTATTTGTTTATTTATTTAACACACTGGCTTGGAGTTACACTGTGAGTCTGATTTAATGCACTGGCTCACCATCCTGATGTTTGATGTTGCAGAATCATGCTGTGTCTCTCTAGAAACAACTAAACCGAGTCTCATTTATTGTATTAACTACTGCTGGGAACTGGCACTGGAGCAGTTTATGAAAGGGATTATATGACGTAATTGCTTGCAATAGCAGGGGAACCAAACTTCCAATCTTATGTGTTACAGATCCAGAAAGGCCTAGAAATACCATATAAAAAGTTAAAGCACATAAGGAGTGCCTAGAATCCAAGAGCCTAGAACCCAAGAGTGGCATTCACTATTATCTATACGGCCAGAAAGCCTGGGAGCTTCTTTCTTGGAATGAACCCCCCACATACTAGGTTCTGTGCAAACAAAATAAAAATGCTCTCTGTCCCAAAAATCTTATAATTTCATATAAGACAAGAAACAATGGGTGAATATAGGCAGATGAGTAACACAAGGAAACAATGAGACACACAGGGTGCTGTGGCTAAATTGTTTTTTAGACAGCACAGCAAAGGAGGGATTTTGTGCTCTGCTGCTGCATAAGTCAGCTCTGTACTGGGCCAACTAATGTCAGGCACAGGCACCACAGTGCAGGGAAAAATAATTACAAAAAGAAAGAGTGGTGTTTTATCCTCTTTCTTTCTACATACTTCACAGTCTAACTTCTTATATAAAACTGAAGAAAACACAGTTCCCTTTCCACTGGCTATCTATATCCAGTGTGTTTGCTCTGCTCTGTATTACAGTCCTGGGATGGCTAATTGTAAGTTCAATTAAAAATAGTGAAGGCAAAAAACTCCTTTCATTCCCACATGGAAGATTCTATGTCACCAGTGACTGAAGATGAGCAAGTCACAGTGTCCTTCACTATAATCACTGTCCTACTTTCTTGATGATCTTTCCAATTAATGTTAACTCTATCGTCTCCACTACCAGGGGATTGTGCAGCTCCACCATTTACAACACATTTATTCTCATACATCACCATGGGGTTGGGAAATTGCCCTTTTTTGTAGATGGGCTTCTGAGGCGCAGAGATTTGCCCAAGGTCAAACTCCAACTGACAGCAGAGTACAGAGGAAAACCTAAGTCTCTTCAGTCTCAGGCTAACATCTTAATCACAGGATCATATTTCTTCCTTGCTGTAAACATTATTTCAGATTAATGCCTGATTTATGCCCTGATTCTTCCCAGTGCTTACGAATGTGAAAAGTTTCATTCACTTAATTCATCCCACTCACAAGAAGTTTGCCAGCACAGAGCCAGCTGGTGGCTAAAGCCATTGGGTGACATGTCTCAAGGGAAAGCTTTCCTTGAACTACACATGAGACAGAATGGTATCCACACTCCGTTGTCTCATTGAGAAATATCTCAATTATAGAATTATAAAGCCAAGAATGCTTTTCTACCTGAAAGCCAAACAGTGATTTGCAAACTAACAGATGTCTTGTTAATATTAAAGGCTCCAATAAAGTAATGGATCTGAATAAATTATCTTACCTATGCTCTTGCTAATGCTAGATGTCTCCTTGTTGCCAAAAATACATACAAACAGTTCTAACACAAATAACAGAGGAAAACTGCATGAAACCTACCATGAGCTACCTTATTTTAGCTCTTTTATGTACAGTGAATACTGAAAGACTGCCTACATCTTTGCTTGAAACTCATTCATTGCCACTGGGAGGGTGTAACAGTTTCTACTGCTCTGCTATAAAACTAAGGAGCTGCAATCTAAAGCTCATTTTTAATAGCTATGCTTTTTAAATTGTTAAGGTAGTAACTACAAACGGTTTTCCTGTTTCAGATGTTGCTGTCAGACCATGGGCTAACAAAATCCAAAACAAAGGGATCACCAGATTGGGATTTTATTTCAAAATAAAAGTGGTCAGAGGTTTTTCTCAAAATATTTCTCAAGAAAAACAGTCTCATTATGAAATAAAATCACATTTTGGTTTCTGATTTTAAAGCACCATAAATTTACTTGAACCTTATTCTTTTCCGATTATTTTTGACAGTAGTAGCAGATCACAATACAGCAAAGTAACAGGTTGTTTCCTTACAGCTCTCTTAACTAGAGAGAGGCTATTTTAATCTTTATTAAGCAGAAACTGCCTTTAAAGAGCTTTAAAATAAAATGGGATGTATGAGCTATGGGGTTTTTACTTATGGAATAATCTTAAAATTAAAAAATAAATAATAGCGTTTTGATAAAGCTTCAAACCTCTACAATTGAATTTAAATGCAATCAGAATTTTAATTTTTACATTTTTAAGGAATTCTAGAAAGCGTGTTGCCTGCAAATAGGGAAGAAAAAGTTTTAAGATGTGGCTATTTTATGCAAGATGGAAACTTTGATTTATTTTTAACTACCTCAAACACAGTTTAAAATAGAGACAGGGACATTATAACTGTGAAACTCTGTAGTAATTACTGTGAGACCTAACTTACCCTTTCTGTTCTGATTCCTTTGTTTCCCTCAGCTCATCCAGATCAATTCTTCTGTCACTTCTGAGAGCTCCATCCTACAATATTCCCAGCACAAACCTCACAGGAACACATATACTTTAAGGCTATGTGAGGACTGTGTGAGACTCTGGGGTCTGCTTCCTTTCTTTTTATGAGCCTACCAAGCAAGTTCTCACACAGGACATGAACCCAAATGTGTCTGAATGCAACAGCCTGATCTCTGCTGTCAGCTACATCCAAGTAACAAAAAATTGCCCCTGCATCAGAACTCAGATGATCCTTTCATAAATTCATGCCAACACTTTTCTTTACGGGAAACACTGGCACTGGTTATTATTTATGCTTAGACCACGATATATCATCTGTGCAGCAGCGTTCCCACCTACTTTCAGGTTTAACTTCCATGTCTTAATACAAATGAGTTGGGCTCCTAGGACCTGTCTCTAAGCTCCCAATGGCTTCAGTCAGGACTGTTCCAATAAAATCAGTGGAGATGGCATCAGCTACAATGGAAGAAGTCATTCTCAAAGGAACAGGTCATGTTCGTTCACTTACGTTTCATGAGTCCCAAAAAAGAAGATGGGGTATTTATTTGCTGGAGGCTTCACGGCTCCTTCAGGGAGTTCATCAATCTGCGAGACAGAAATGGAAAAAGGATTATTCCCTAATGTGGTGTCCCTCGCCCAAGAATCCCTACCAAGTCATGGAAGTGCTAGTGCAGGTATCCTATCCTGGGGTAAGGAAGGGAAGACAGCTGATTTTTCAGGCAGGCAGGTCACACAGAGCCAGCATATGACAGAAACACTACAGGGAGGTGACAGAAGAGCAAGGAGCCAACAGAAAGTTTTAATGATTTCATGGGCATTATAGTACACAAAGGTAATAAAATCAAGTCTGCTTAATGGAAGTGTTAACTTCAGATCCTGCCTCATCAAAGGCATGGAGCCCAGAGGGTAATCCTGTCATCTCACAGAGCCACCTAAGTAACTTCTGCAACAAATGGCTTGCAGATGGTACAGATGTTATCTCTGAGACTGTGCAACTGGAAAACCGGAGTGCTTCCTGGCTGTGGTGGTGGTATGCAGTGAAAACTGCACAACACCCCCTAGGGAAGAGGGCCTGGAACTCTCCTTCCCCTGCAGTATCCCAATAACTGTTTTTGGTCACTACTCTCCTTTGTACCCCATCTCTTCTTTCACATTTTATCGCTGGCCTCATATTCCTCAAGATTCAGCTGCAGAGCAGCTAAGGGAGGGACGGTGAGGGTGCTCTCCTGCAATATAACTGGGCCTGGGACAAACCCTGAAGACTAAACAATGCCTAGATCCCGTTTTCAGATGCCTGAGTGAGAGCAATTGTTGCAAGGCAGTAGGTTAGGCCCAAGACTTAGTCTCACCCATATCTAATTTCTCAGTCCTCTGCAGCAGAAATAAGAGAGTCCAGGTGCCTACCCACATAAACCAGAAACACAGCGCAGCTTTAAATAAGATCTAAGTGCCTGCCTTCCCAGAAATAGCACTTCTGAGCATATGTGGCCATCTGAAATGAAGTGTCCAGAGAACTCTCCTGCTAAGAGCAAGCCTAGTGAATCTAGGTATCTACAGGGCAACACTAGAGAGCAGGTGAACGGCTTGCTGCCTGGGTCTTAGCAACTCAGTCTCAACATAAGCATATTGAATCCTGTCAAATGTCACTGGAACTGAGAACAAAGTGCTGACATACCAATGCTATACACAATCTGCTCCTCAGAAGAGCAGGGGATGGAACCTGCATGTTTCCACTCAGGAGACCAGGCCCACATGTGCTTTCCTTCTCTTCCTGCCGAAGGACCCCAAACACTGAATTCTTGTTGATTAATAAACACCAGATTGTTTTCAAAGGATGTTCTCTTTCACTGTAAAGCATCTGCTGGCTACATGGCTCTCAAAGGAGTATGAATTTTTGTAAGAATTCAAGTCCTTTTGGTCTTTTTGCAAGGACACCCGTTGAGGACAGAGAAATGAGAGCCACATGTGGAGCTGTAATATCACAGGACTCCTTTCTGCAAAAGAAATGGATGTCTTTTAGGTGCACGTGGAGCATTATCTGAAGGTACACCAAAATCAGGTGATATAAGAACACTTCCAAACCATTCCCTGTCTCTTTTCTGCATCAGGACCCAGGGGTGCAGATGGTGGGGCTCTGGTCCACTGGGCCGTGTGTCACCATGCACTCACTACCCACCACCTTCTGCATGAGACAATCCATGATGGTCAGAGGTGTCACACGCCTTGTGGACACAGCGATTACCCAACTTCCTTCAATTAACAAAGCCAATGAACTCAGAAATAAAAGGAGAATCTGTTATTTAAATGCATATAGAAGGAAGATACACACTGGTAGAAAATGGAAACGTGCAATCCCTTTTAGCTCATCTGCATGTAAGAAGGAACTGAAATGACATGACAGGCTGTTTGGCGTTCCCTTCATCATCAGGAATGCATAGAGAGAAGACTGCCAAAGATATTTTTTTCAGAACTCATTGTCTTCTGACATGAACTATTTGTTTTTAAATAAGTGTCCCTAATGTGGTTATTTGTTCACTAATTCATGACTTAAATATAGGTATTAGATTATAACTGATAATAACACTGAAGGGAAAACACTTTACAGACAGACAGCAGGTCAGGGAGACAGCATATCCCACTGTAACACTTTTTATGCTTCCTTAGAGATGGAAGTATCTACGCATCAAACCGAAAAAGGCCGTGCTGGCAGTTTATCAATTGCAGGAGCGATACACCTCAACTGTCTGGATGTCACAGCCATCCTCCTCTTTATTATAAAGAAGATGTCCAGAGAGATACTAGACTCCAAAAAATGTGGACCTCCATGACTGAAACAAACAGTATCTGCTGGGACTTGAGTATGAACCTCATTTGGCTGCTTGCAGCACGGCACCAGCTCTGGGCTGCATTACAGAGCAGCACGGTCCAGTTACTGTCTCAGCCCTTTAAGAATTTCTCATGAAATAAAGTAAACAGCTTTAAATGATCAGTAAATCAGGGGAATGAACACATGCTTAGTAGGAACGCTGATCAGAAGGGAATGGGGATCTTACATCACACAACGTGCTGTGCTCCAAAGCAGTGAGGATCTTCTCCTAAGCAGCATCCCAAGTGGAATTAAGGCCTCATGTTGCATTCCCAGCACTTTATACTGTTAGGTAAGGAGCATCATCAAATTGACAAAGGACAGCAGACTTATCTGTCACGCAGCTCACCTGCTCCCCATTTCGTGGTGTATTTCTTTATTCATCCAAGTATCCCCCCTGACTATGTATCATCACAGGAAACCACAGAAAAGCTTTTCATAGCTTTTGAAAGTTGGCATACACGTACAGACACATGCAGTATAAATCTGCACTAAACAGCTCAAGGATAGACTGCTAATGCTCCCACTCCAACATTTCACTGTGCAGCTGAGGTTAAGACTTTTCCTGCCTTCCCCAGTTCTGCTGTGAGCTCCCCAGCTCTCAGGCTTACATTGCTAGTACTGTAATGAGGTTGAATATGAAGTGACAGTGCTGTCTTATGGACATTTAACTGCCTGGCAAAAAAACTAGGGAATTTAGTGAAGGATGAAACCCTTTCTGCCATTAAGAAAGATCTTCCCTTTTCACCCGTTTCACATGAAACCTGCATTAGAGACTGTGAGAGGAGAGCTTTGTAGAGTCCACCATTCCCAGCAAAACCATTTTACCCTTTGTGAACACCGAGCCCCTAAGTGCTTGTTTAGCTGCAGAACAAGTCCAGCACTCCTTAATGATTGCTGCTGTTCTGCAGTACAGAAAACAAGTGGTACAAGCAACCATATTGCAGCTTCCCGCTGCTGCACGCAGTCACAATTTATTCCCGTCCTACAAGCTGTTTTGGTTAAATGTGCTGAAGGTTTGGATCTGATATTTTTCCCCATATCAGCAAGATCAAAGGCAGAGAGAGAGGGAGGGAGAGAAAGAGAGCGCATGAGCACAAGAGCGAGAAAAGCATCACTGCTGAACCAGGAACAAAAGAGATAAGTGCACCCATACTAGGACACAGTGTTGTAGTCACAGAAACCTCGCTAATGACTAAAGCATCTGTCTATCAGAGAGACGGACTGCGATTGCATTTTGCTTCTGAAGGGAAACAAACAGATTCTAAAGTACCCGTTATAACCTGCAAACAGGGGATCCATCCCCTCCTGAACCAGAGCAGGGAGCAGGCTGGAACTTGCTGCCACAGACAACAGAGAAAGCCCTGCATGGCACACAAATCTGATCTGTGCATCAGCAGCATCATGGGCAGCCGCTTCAATTATGGCTAAAATTAAAGCAGGTGGTTTCAGATTTCAAGTTTTATCCCCTTTGCTGCCGTTGCTGTCATCTGCTTAATGAATAACAATTGCTTTCTTTTTGCACAACCTCAGCAGAGCTGCACTTCCCAGCATTTGTTTGCCAACCAAGCAGCAGAGCTTTAAAGATGTAACTGTGCTTCTTTTTCTTCCCAGTAAACAAATGCCAGGCTTCTAGGGTCAGGAACACTCAACAGAGAATTCAGCCTGGACCTCTCAAACCAGACCAGGGCTTTACCAAATGGTGTTGCTAGGGACTACCAATGTGCAAGCAAGAAATCTGCCTCCTTACGTTGTAATTTACATGCTAGGATGTATATGCAGCCTGAATATTTTGCTCGTGGTGGTGCTGCCTAATTGCTGCATTCTCGGGTAGTATTTCCAACTAGTTGTCACAGGCTGGTTTGTCAGTACTCACTGCAACACTTTCTTCCCAGTTGCCACGAGGTTAGGGACCCTGGGGAGAGAGGCGCTGGCTGGGTGGGTTGGACGGGAGCCGCAGCTCTGCGCCGAGGACGGTGCAGAGCTGCCTGCAGAGAACAACAGTGGCTCCCAGAATTCTGCACAAATCATCCCCGTGCCTGCCTGTGGGATAACGTGGCATATTCCAGACAAGCGGAGGAGCTCCCTGGGAGGGCTGGTGCAGAAGCAGAGGAAGCTGCACCCCCTCCTGGGTGTTCTGCTCTGCAGAGCTCTACATTCCCAGCAAAATGGGAAACATGTCTCTCCGAGACACAGAGAGAACAGCAAGCTTTGTCTCTGCTTGCCTATGTAAAGCAGCTTTCTGTGGAGGTTTTTGTTATTGCAGCAGTCAAGAAAGGGGCAGTGCTGCCCATCAAGGCAGAAGGGCATCCCAGATGCATCTTCTTCCACTTGAAGGGAAGCAGGTGTCATGTTGTATGGCTATCACAAAACCTCTGTGCTGTGTACAAGCTGCTGTTCAGAAGCAGGAATTCCAGGCTGTCAGGGTGGCTTTCAGACCAGACCCTGTTCCATTATTTTCCAACAGAATTTTACACTGCAAAATAAAAAGGTATTATGCAAAAATACCTATCAGGTCCACATGTACCAACAAGAAAGCTTTACTTCAGCCTGCAGAGATGCTTTTGTGGGCATTGAAACCACAAGAACAAGTCCCTTTTATTTTGCAAAAGAGGGAATTAAAACTGCAGAGCAGTAATCACTGATTGTTTTGACATACTGTAAATGCCTTTGATTGGCAAAAGCACACAGAAGCATTGCAGAGATCAGTATCTCCCAC